CCCCATGCCTGAGCTGCCAGCCCATTGTGGCTAGGCCAAGGACTATGTTGGAGGCAAATACCATTTCACCTCTTTTGGTGGTTCCTCATTTCCCCTACTGTCACTAAAAAGTATTTAAATCATTTTGCATTGTCCGAGTTATAGTATACAAGTCCATAAAATGAGTGACTTGGACTAGATCTCTCAGGTATTTTCCAGCTTTGAAGTTTTAGCATGATTTTTCTAAAAAGTAGTGATGGAATAAAATACATTGAACTGCTGTCTGCTTATGCATTAATTCATGAGAAAAAAAAGCCACTGAGATAGTTTTCATAACTTTATTACTCATTTAATCCTCACAACTCTATGATGTAGGTATAGTTATCTTCCTCACTTGACAGAGGATGAAATTGAGGCAGAAAGAGGTGAAGTGACTTGCCTAAGGTTAGTGTGTGAACAGCAGACCCAGGATTCAAGTTGAGGCAGTCTGGCTCAGGAGCCCATGCTTCTAATCGCTATGTCATGCTGCTCTCCCTGCAGTTATCATGGCTGAGGTGGTTCCATTTCAGATACTCTCTTCTGTTGTCTTCATCAACCAATAAAATGATAAAGCCCAATATTTAGTTATCTAAACTACATATTCCACATGCCTCATTCAGAAACAGCCACAATATCTTCTTTCACATTTTTGTCCGTGTTTTAGGCCCAGATCTACAATAACCATCTGACTAATTTGTGAAGGTGAAGCCTCACTAGAGTTACTTACCAGTGTTTTCCAAAGGTGTTAACGTGGGCCAGCAAATGTGTAGGAAAAGTGTTAGAGGTAGGATTTAGCTTCAGGAATAACCCCCTCTGCTTCTGTTCAAGGCTGAGTAGAGATTTGGTTGCCAGGTATTTTTTTCCTGCTCCCTGCTGCTGCTGGTAAGAGGTCCTTCTCTTGTTGCCATGCAGTGACCTCAAGCATGAAGTCATTCCTAGTTAATACTACAGCAAGCAATCTTGGGGAATAGTGAGGGCAAAGGGAATGACACTTTTGCCTCAGAATAATAAGGGCCCAGTTCCTGCCCAGAACCTCAGATGCAGATTGAGGGTCACTCTGGTATAGGGAATGCATGGAGGCAGGGCAAGTACCAAAGTGTCTTTCTTTTAGTTTTGGGAAACACTCAGGCCCCCACTATCTTTGCTACAGGCTGAGTAAGTACCTTGCTTAACAGGCTCTGCCTCCATCAAGTCCATTTCACATTGCCCCGTCTGGGCTAATTAGCAGCAGCAAAAGTACATCTTCTATTTTACAGTTTACAAAGTACTTTAACTTTCATTGCCTCATTTGATCTTCACAACAAACCTGTGAAGCAGGTTTTACAGATGAAGAGAGGTTCAGAAAGGTCCCTAGTATAGTAGCAGAGCTGGCACCTGTATCAAGGTAAGCCAACTTTCTATGCACCTTAGGAGAGAATGGTGACTTAGGGAAGTCCTTGTCTCAGTGTGTCCTTTTGGGGTAGGTAACAGTAATTCCTAGCCTCTGGTATCAGAATCATTTAAGGAGGTTTAAAAATAAACAGATGCATGGACCTTATCTCAGATGTAACATAGTAGAATCTTCAAGTCTGGGTACCTGGTATATATATTTTGGGGGAAAAAGTCCCACAGTAAATACTGATGTGCACAAAAGGTTCAAAATCACTTGCACTTAAGTTCTCCTAAATGTATCAGAATAATCTGATGAAGTCTCATATCCATTAAAGCAAATAACTGTTGCCTTGGAGAAAACAAATTCCTTCCCTCCAGGAATTTCTAATCTGTTTGGGATAAGACCTGCACAGGCAAAGAGACTCAACACCATGAGGCAAAGTCTAAGACCTCGGTAGTCCCAACAAGAGAGGCAGGGGGAGGGCTAAGAGGTGGGTGGGTACAGAAAGACAAATACTAACGATCTCAGAGAGTGAAATGTAGGTCCTTTCAGGAAATTATTTGGTTTGGCAATGGAGAGCATTTCTGGCAGATGGAGGAAAGGACACAAGGCTGGCTGGGTCAGTGAGATGGTCAGTTTGGCCAGAGCAAAGCATTCATGAAATAAGATATGTGGGAAATAAAGCTTCTGAGGTAGGCAGAGGTTATATTGTGGAGGGGTTTCCCTGCCAAGGTGAGGAGCTTCAAATTAACCCTAGGTAGTGGGAAGACATTGGGGGTTTTAAAGCAGAGTATACAAAAACAAAAAGCAGAATGTAATCAGAGTGCAAGTTTGGAATGGGGGAAGGGGGACAGGGAGAGCAGTCAGGAAGCTAATGAAGTCAGGTGTGAGGTGATAAGGTTTCTGAACAAAGGTGGGTAGTTTAAGAATGGAAAGTTGGGATCATGTTCTAGAAACAAACATTGAAGAATTTACAGGATTGAGTGACTTTCACTTGAGAACCACTTTAGCAAACTGGTCTCTGGAACCAAATTTCTTGGGCTCAAATAGTTTTTTGTTTTACATTTTTTTAATTTACTGATTTTTTTTAGAGAAACGTCAATTTGTTGTTGTTCCACTTATTTATGCATTCATTGGTTAATGCTTGTATGTGCCCTGACCAGGGGATGAACGCACAACCTTGGCGTATCTAGAGGATGCTTTAACCAGCTGAGCTATCCTGCCAGGGCCTGGGCTCAAGTTTTGATTCTTCCATTTACCTGTGTAATCACAGGCAATAACCACCTTTGTGCCTTGGTTTTCTTACCTGTAAAATGAGGCTTATGGTAATACATGCCCCAAAGATGTGATTAAATGAATTTGTATAAATTATTTAGAATGATCCAGCTGGTGTGGCTCAGCAGCTGAGCATTGACTTATGACCCATGAGATCAAGGTTCAATTCCCAGTCAGGGCACATGCCCAGGTTTGGGCTCGATCCCTAGTAGGGGGCATGCAGGAGGCAGCCAATCAGTGATTCTCTCATCATTGATGTTTCTCTCTCTCCCCCTCGTCTTTTTGAAATCAATAAAGATTTTTTTTTTTTAAAGTTATTTTAAAAAAATTAGAATGTTGCCTGGCACAATAAATAGGTATTGGGAGGAAGCTGGTATGATGACGGTTCCATGAGTAGCACTCTAGTGTCACAGCTGTCTGGCATGTTCTCTGCTTTCAGAGTGTGACGTGTTGGCGAGCCAAGTTTATGGAGGCCTTTTTTTCCCATGTTCTACGTGGAACCATTGATGTGTCTTCTGACAGGCGTCTTTGTGACCAGCGCTTCTCACCTCTTCTGCATAGCTCCCGCCATGTCCGGCAGCTCACCATCTGCAACATGCTGCAGGGTGCAACTGAGCTGGTGGCTGAGCCCAACCGCAGGGTTCTGGAGACCCTGGCCAGTTCCCTGCATACCCTCAAGTTCCGCCACCTGCTATTCTCTGATGTGGCTGCTCAGCAGTCACTTCGGCAGCTGTTACATCAGCTTATTCACCACGGGGCTGTCAGCCAGGTGTCGCTGTACTCCTGGCCTGTGCCTGAGTCAGCCCTTTTCATCCTTATCCTCACCATGAGTGCTGGCTTCTGGCAGCCAGGCCCTGGTGGCCCTTCCTGCCGCCTCTGTGGAGAGGCCTCCCGAGGCCGGGCTCCATCCCGAGATGAAGGGTCTCTCCTGCTGGGCTCACGCAGGCCACGCAGGGATGCTGCTGAGCGATGTGCTGCAGCCCTGATGGCTTCCCGTCGGAAGAGTGAAGCCAAGCAGACGGCCAGAGCCACACCTGCCACTCGAGTTACACGCCGGAGCACACAGGAGAGCCTAAGAGCAGGCGGGATAGACCCTAAGAGGGAGCTGCACCCTCCAGCCACCTCCCATGAGGCTCCTGGCACCAAGCGGCCACCCTCTGCTCCAGCCACCAGCTCCTCTGTCTCTCCCTCTCCTTCCACATCTGCACCCAAAAGGGCTCCAGCCAGCTCAGCCCCACAGCCTAAGTCCCTAAAGCGTTTTAAGCGAGCCACAGGGAAAAAGGGTGCTCGCACTCGTCAGGGGTCTGGTGCAGAGTCTGAAGACCTGTATGACTTTGTTTTCATTGTGGCTGGTGAGAAGGAAGATGGGGAAGAGATGGAGATTGGGGAAGTGGCTTGTGGAGCTTTGGATGGGTCAGATCCCAGCTGCCTGGGGCTTCCAGCACTGGAGGCCTCCCAACGATTCCGCAGCATTTCCACCTTGGAGCTATTCACAGTTCCACTCTCCACAGAGGCAGCTCTGACACTGTGCCACCTGCTGAGCTCCTGGGTGTCCCTGGAGAGTCTCACACTATCCTATAATGGTGAGTGCCCTAGAGGGGCAGGGATTGGGTTTCCCAGCAGCACCACATGTATGCCCAATCCCGTGGAGGGGTATGATCTGGAGATGTGGCCCTGCCTGCCTCACAGGGAGGCAGACAGCACATAGTGTGGCAGGCTGTTAGTGCTAGGGAAGAGGAACACGAGGTCTGCAGGCTTGCTTTGTAGTTGGAAGCAAGAGTTCCTGAGGGGCAATGAGAACCTAAAAAACGAGTACATTTTAGATATGGTAGGCAAGCCAGGGCTGAAGCTGGATCCCACCAGGTGTATAAAAGCAGATGTAAAGACAAGGAAGTGTGGGATATTTTATCAGACCAGCAACCTGCAAAGCAGTTTTTTCCTACCTGGTTGTGCCCTGCTAGCCAAATTTAACTGGCTAAATCCAGCAGTCTGCTTAGGTTGCAGAGCACTGCTAGAGAAAATCACACAACTGTAGATTGGTGCTACTATACATTCATAGTTATTAACCTTAGACAACTGTGTTTGCAACATCAGCTCCCATTCCTATTCTACCACTTCCAAACCCTTATCCCTCTTCCTCAGCAGATGACCTCACTTCCTACTTCACAAAGAAAATAGATGCCATCACACACAACTTCAATTTATTAACCAGCCTACAAACTTTCCTACATCTGCTTTCATCCTTTCCTCCTCCACTACAGTGGAAGGCTAACTCTTCTATCTGTGCACTGGACCCATACCCTCTCACCTTCTTAGGAAAGCTTCTTAAATGTCTTAGTATTAAGAGCTCTTATATACTGCTTAGTATGTGTCAGGCATATTTTTATTCTCATTAACTAATTTAATCCCTACAACAAACCTCTGAGGTCAAGTGACTTGCCCAGGGTATCTAGGTAATAAATTGCCAAGCCAGGATTCAAACACACAAAACCTGGCTCCAGAGTCCATGCTTTTAAATCACTAAATGTTGCTTCCTTTCTCTCCACTGTCCTTCCCCCAACATTTGAACATTGAATTGGGTGTCCACCAAAATCTACCATCCCTTATTAACTAGTCCTATTTTCTCCTGCCCTTCACAACCTTAAGAATCACCTGTTTTCTCTCACAGCCCACTCGTCTTGTTTACATACCCACTACTGCATTGAAGATCTGTCACCAAGGTCCTTCTTATTGCTAAGTTCAATATATACCTTTCAGTCCTCACATTAGTTCTTGGCAGCATTTGCTATTAAGCAGTCTTCCTCATGAAATACTCTCATTTCCACTTCCTCAAAACTTTTTTTTCTTCTTTCTCAGACATTACTTCTCTCTTAATAGTCAGAATTCCTCAGAGCTCTCCCACTTTACACACTTCCTGAACAATTCTGTCCATTCCTTTGGCTTCAAAGGCTAACTATGCTGAAGATCCCCCATTCTATGACATTAGCCCAGATCTTTCTCCTAAACTCCAGACCTGTTTATCCAGCTGATTACTAGATATCACTTCATAAACCACAAGCTTCCCAACCTGAATGTCTCTTCTTCCCTCTATATGATGCTCCTCTTAATGACACTGCAGGTGACTCAGTTGCCCAAAAAGAAACCTCCATTATTTCTTACTCCAAATATATTTGGTTACCAGGTCCTATCTTTACACTCTCTCAAATCCATTTATTCCTCTCCACATCCTTGATTCAGGCTACTATTGCTTCTCACCTGGATTCATCACTTCAACAGTTCCTCCTGAGTCCATCCATACTCACCATACAATCCACTGAAGCCCAAGCAATTTTTTCTCAAAAATGTACATCTGTCATTTGTTCATTTAAAAATCATTCAGTGGTTTCCTGTCACCATACATCTTAATTTTACTTAACAGGGTCATGTTCTCACCCATGCTTACCTGTATAGTCCTATCTTGAACATTTTACCCTCATACTTTAAACACAAGCCACTTTGATTTTTCAGTTCTTAGAACCTGCTACTCTTTCTCCTTCAGGCCTTATATATGCCAGGTTCTCTCTGCCACAATCACTCTTTTCCCTCCATTTAGCCTATCTTCTTTATGTTCTTTAGGACTCAACTGGAAGCTTTTATTGATGTAAGCTGAGCTGAGTCTGAAGTACCCATCATTTGTACTTCCACAGTACTCTACTTACACAGTTCCCATCATGCTTTTTGTTATCAGGCTGTAGAGGCAGGAGCAAGATCTGTTGCTCACTAGAGTCTAGCAAAAAAACCAGAATAACCACACCCTTACAAAGTGCTGGGTAAGGTTTAGTTGAATGAATGAATCAACTGGAGCCTACTCAGTCCAAGGGGAAATAAAGGAGCAAATTCCAAGGAATTGCTTTATGGCATTAAGCAACTTTTCTAACCTGGATCCTATTCCTTTCTGTGGGATATGGTTATCCTTTTTTGCCCCATTCCCACCCAATAAATGTCTTAAAGTAGTCCCTATTGGATCATTGTCCTTAGTTTTCAGATGTTTCCCCATGATCTATGGAAAAAATCCAGACCTCTGCTGCTGTCTGGGTCTAAGCAGCTGGCAGCTACAAGCTGCCCCAACACATCCTGTCTTTAGTGACTCTGCCCTGACTGATGCTTGAAGGCATAACCCAGTACAGTAGACATCAATTTGCTGGTTACCTGAGGAAAAAAACAAGACAATGGATGAACAGTTGAAACATGATTTTAAATTATCTGATCCAAAGCTCAAGATTTAATAGTTATCAATAGAAATATTTGGAGTTGTCTGAGTGCTACCCTTGCTGATACTCCCATGTGACTCTTTCCTGCCAATAGGCCTGGGATCTAACATCTTCCGCCTGCTAGACAGCCTGCGGGCCCTGTCAGGCCAGGCTGGATGTCGCCTCCGTGCCCTGCATCTCAGTGACCTGTTCTCACCACTGCCCATCCTGGAGCTGACACGTGCCATTGTGCGAGCCCTGCCCCTACTGCGGGTCCTCTCTATTCGTGTCGACCACCCCAGCCAAAGGGACAACCCTGCTGTGCCAGGGAATGCAGGGGCCCCTAGCCACATAATTGGGGATGAAGAGATACCAGGTGAAGCACTGTGTGTGTCGTTTTTCTCTACACAAATGTGCAGGTGCATTTGTGTGAGGAAGGCAGGAAGATTTCTAATTCAGCCCTGCCACTACTCATTCCTGGCTTATCTGGAACCTGTTCCCACTGTATCCTATTCTTAAAGGCCCAGACTACAAGCCTAGTAAGGAGTGACCATGGCAGATCAGCCTCCAGAAAAGGGGTCTAAACCAAGAACAAATGTTAGACTAGATTAGATCCCCCTGCTGTATTTGTTCCCTGAATTCCTGTATGTCTCCTATCCCACCACTTTGCATACTTTACTATATTTGCTTGTTTAAGTAGTCTAATCTTCCTGGACTAAAAGCTCCATAAAGGTAAGAACTAAATTTCATATTTAGTGCTCTATTCCCAGAACCTAGCACAGTGCCTAGCATATATGTATGTCTACTCAAGGACAAGTAGACATATATTTTTAGTGAATCCCTTAAGGACAGAATAGGACCTGCTATGGGGGTGAAGTAGAGATGGCCAGCTGGAATCTCCTTTCCTTACCATACCCAGAAAACTGCCTGGAACAGCTGGAGATGGGATTTCCAAGGGGAGCCCAGCCAGCCCCACTGCTCTGCTCTGTACTGAAGGCCTCAGGTTCTCTGCAGCAGTTGTCCCTGGATAGCACCACCTTTGCCTCTCCCCAGGATTTTGGGCTTGTGTTGCAGACACTCAAAGGTAAGACCCAGCTAGAGTGGTAAAGGGAGGAGGGGAGGAGGGAACCTTGCATTGATCTCTGGAAAAGCTAATAAGGCCCATGGCCTCTACCCCCACCCAGAGTACAACCTAGCCCTGAAGAGGCTGAGCTTCCACGACATGAATCTGGCAGACTGTCAGAGCGAGGTGCTCTTTTTGCTACAGAATCTGACTCTTCAAGGTAAGTTTTTCATCCAGAACCTGGGGCATTCCTGAGTCTTACTGTGGCTCTGCCACTGTCTCACTGAGTGAGCCAGTTTTTTTCTTGGCCTTATGTCAACTATAAAATGGCTATAGAGCCTGCATGACCTTCTTTCCAAAAGATCCCAAACTCAACTCTTCCTGTACTACACATGGGAAATTATTTTTAGAGCACCCTCACTCAAAAGTTTTTACCTCTCAGTTGCTGACAGAAACAATGATAGTGGAGAGGGATAAATGTGCTGTCAGGTTCCCCTCAGAGACTTGTCTCTAATGACCAGCCCTGCAAAGAGGGCAGTCAATGGATGAGTAAGAGTGAGTGGAGAATTGTCCATGCAGAGAACCTCCCTAGAGCAAACATCTAGGCTTAATCTGTGGTTTGAATCCTAATTTAATTCTAGCCTTACTTGGGGTCTTGGATAAATTCCTTTCTCTTTTTGGGCCTCTATAAAATGTACACACCCCTTGCTAAGGCAAACTGGGGCAGGAGGGGCAGCACCAGTCCTAATGCAGCCATCAGAACTTATTCTGATTTCTCTTGACAGAGATTACCTTCTCCTTCTGCCGTCTGTTTGAGAAGCGCCCGGCCCAATTTCTGCCTGAGATGGTTGCTGCTATGAAGGGCAACTCCACATTGAAGGGCCTCCGGCTGCCAGGGAACCGCCTGGGTGGGGGCAAGGCCCTGGGAATGGAGAGGGAGAGGGGGAAGGAGCCAGTCTTTTGACCTAGAAACTCAGTGGGAACATGGGGGTTAGGATCTAGTCGTGTGCTGGGACTTCAGAAGGCTGGGCTTCTGCCCAGCCAGAAATAGGCTGGGAAACCCTTATTCCCTACTCTTGAGTAGTTACCAGCATTTCTCCCCTTCTCCCTAGGGAATGCTGGCCTCCTGGCCCTGGCAGATGTTTTCTCAGAGGATTCATCCTCCTCTCTGTGTCAGCTGGACATCAGGTACACATTGGGGGCTGGCGGGAGGAGGGCAGGGAACAAGGGGAGCTGTAGGAGCACAGACCAGAGATTAGTTGCTTCCTGGGTATCTAATCCATCTCACCCCTACCAGTTCCAACTGTATCAAGCCAGATGGGCTTCTGGAGTTCGCAAAGCGGTTGGAGCGCTGGGGTCGTGGAGCCTTTGGTCACCTGCGCCTCTTCCAGAACTGGCTGGACCAGGATGCAGTCACAGCCAGAGAAGCTATCCGGCGGCTCCGGGCCACCTGCCACGTGGTTAGCGACTCGTGGGACTCATCCCAGGCTTTCGCAGATTATGTCAGCACCATGTGATGGGGCTCCATGCCTCACAGGTCCATGCTCAGTACCATCAGCTTGTAGGGGCTGAGGCATGGGCTGCCCAGAACTCCCAAACAATTCTGTCTTTCTCTTTCTGCCACCTTTCTTTCTCTATTTTCCTTCTTCCCTTGCACTGAGGTTCTGGAGGCCTTGATGGGGCCCAGCAAAGGCATTCCCAGAACTGGGTTTAGAGGCTTTGGGCCTCTTACTCAGTAATCTGAGAACCCTGGGCCAGGAGGTTACAGTGGTGATCAGCCACTGAGGACAGTCCCCCTTCCCCTGCTCCAGAGTTCCTGCTTTCCCACCTCAAGCAGGTACCCAAGCTTTAGAGAAATATAGGAGTGCCCACTACCAGGCCTCTTCTCTGCTGGGCTCGCCATGATGCTCCCAGGCCTCAGTCCCTTTCATACCTTTATTCGTTTTTTTTTAACCAAAAAAGTTTTTCTTATAAAATAAATTTTGGGCAAACATCATGCAGCCCTTCTTGATGATTTTTCTCCCAGAGAACAAAATCCAGCAGGGCCCTATAGGGCAGGGAGCCCCTTTCCCTGTCTCCTCCCTCTTAACAGCTACACCCAGACTAGTTGGTTATCAGCGGAGGCCCCGCTGCTCCTCATGGGAACGCTGGTGGAAGACGAAGGTGATGGCAGCGGAGGCAGCATCCCAGGCAGCCTGGAGTACCTCATCCCTGAGCCCCCGCCTATCAGTGCTATGGTTCCACTGAGCCAGGTCTGAGGTGCAGTCAGAACCATCAGGGGGTGGCCTGATCTGGTGGTTGTTGACACAGCGGCGGCAGCGCAACCTGGGGGCAGAGGACAAAGCTGTGGTCACTCTACGTTCCACCTCCATACTGTGCGGAGAATTCAGTAATGGCTAGTGAGGGCACTCCCTCACCTCTCGTGGGTGTCGCTGAGGCTGGCCTCGTCCAGGGTGAACAGCTCCTTCAGCTCGCCCAGAGAGAAGTGCCGCTCCACATCCTGCTCCTTGTCCACCACACAGCTGCTCAGCGCCTTCTTGTGGCTCTGCCGCTGAAAGATCTTCTCCTCAATGGTTCCTGCCTGGGGGAAGGTGGGGGAGGCAGGGAAGCGGGGCTGTCATCTGCATACATAAGGGGGGGGGAAAAACCAAGGATTGAAACTATTGCCACCCAAGAGAAGGGGAGATAAATGAAAAGTAAGAGTCTTGCAGCGATACCTCTGCTCAGCTGAGCCCATTGCCCAGTCTGTCTCCGGAATATAACTTGTGCATGTCTGTCCACCCAGGTTATTTTTTGTACCAACGGAGGGTTTCAGGGCCTGGCTAAATTCCTTCAGGGTAAGCTGAGGTTTGTCTGTAGCAGCTTCACCAGGCTTCCACACCAAGCCCAAGTCTCACTCAGTAACTATCACCTGGGTATCACATGCCAGACCCTATGCTAACACGAGGATATAAAGAAGAATCAAGTATGATCCTTATTCTTGAACTCACAGACTAGTGGAACAGACAGACATGTAAGTTACTTGGCAAAATAATAATAGATTTCTGTATAGCATACACAATAGCTCACAAGAGGGATGGTAGAATGGAATAGTGTTGAAAAGCTTGAAGTAAAGATGATCCTTAAGCTGAATCATAAAAAGTAGATAATTTAGAAGGGAAGAGAGGGGGGAAGGCATTCCCTGCATAGGAACAAAGGAATAAGCCTGGCCTTCTGGAGGACTGTGAGGAGTTCAGCCTATCTAGAGGATGGTGGAGGTATATAGTAAGAGTTGGGACCAAGAAAGTCAGCAGAGGCCCTATTGGAGAAGCTTGGATGCCAGGCTGAAGAGCTTGACTTTGTCCTGAAGTGATTAAAAGCAAAAGCAGAATTTTTGGAAAGCTCATTCTGGAAGCAGTATGTGAAGAATGGGTTAGGATAAGACCAAAGCTAAAGAATTAGGAAGCTGCTGCAATATCCAAGTGAGAGATTACTGTGACTTTAGCCTGAGATGGGGAGGAAGGTTAGATTAAAGAAATTTCAAGAGGTTAAAATCAATGGTAATTGGAATATGGTTGTTAGGAGACAAGATGGTCCAATAGGATGATGCCCAAATTTGAGTTGGGTGCATAATGGAGCCATTAAATGACAAAATTCAGAAGGAGAGCATGTTTCATCATGATGTATATAAAGTGCTCATAAGATATTCAGGTGAAAATGTATAGTAGATGATAGATACATGGGTCTAGAACTCAAGACCCATGAGATAAGAGATCTGGGCTAAAAATTATGTTAAAGACTTTTCAATATAATGAGCATATAAAATCAGAAGTAGGAAAACCAGAGTGGAGTTTCCAAAAGGAAAAAAAATTTAAGATTAGTAGTCAACAGTATCAGATATACAAAGCAGAAAAAAATCAAAAGTCTCTTGTTTTGGCAATTAGGAATCCAATAATAGTACATTCAAAAGCAGGGTCAGTGGCATAAATGGTCTGATGAGTGAGACAAGGTAAAGTTTATCTGTAGAATTTGGAAAAATGTGACAGTCAATGAATGGGAAGTAACCCAAGGTAGTAGCTACAATAAGGTTGAGAAATTTTGTTTTTAAAGTGAGAATAAAGTAGAATTCAATCAACTAAGAAAGGAAAGGATGGGAAGGGTTCTAGAACAGAGCTGGAATGCTGAGCCTCAAGAAGAGAGGAAGGGCATGATCTTCTTCTGAGGCAGGAACGGAAGAGCAGGTGGAGAGATTTATGGGACAGGGAAGGGGATGAGAGAATTCAAGCCTAATAGCCTCCACAGTTTTTTTCTGTGAGGTAGAAGGAAAAGGTCTCTGGAGAAGAATGAGAGACAGGGTTAGGAAGGACACTTGAGGGCAGTGGTGAAGGCTTGAAGTGCCTGTTTAAGGAAATGAGATATGGCCCAGCCAAAATGGTGAATGTTAATTAGTGGTAGTGCCCATCTGTTTAAGTGCAAATTTATCTGGTGTAGAGGCTAACAGCTGTAATGATCCAAGTGAAGTAGGTATTAGGGAAGGACTACATGAAAGAATGCACAGTAAGGATCAGGCTGAACAGAAAAGGAAGTCAAGCTAGATTTGGGGTCTGGGGACAGGGTACTAGGGATGTTAGGTTGGAGCAGATGTAGGAGGTATAAGAAAGCTGAAGAACAGGAAGTGATAGCTATTACTAATGACAGCTATTCAAGTTTTGGGTACTATGTAAAGTTTTGGTACTGTTAAAGTTCCACCGTGTAGCCTTGGGAGTAATTAAAATAGGGGGAGGTCAAGGAAACATGAAGGCCAAAGTGCTGGATAACTGCATGGTCCTTGAAGCCCACCAGGATGATAGTTGCATCTGGGGAAGAAATGAAGACTGAGCTGGTGTCCAAAGTCATTAATAAATTATGAAAATAGCAGGAGGCAGATGACTATAGCAAGGAAAAGAGGATATCAAGCCAGATAACATGAGCTTCAAAAGAGGAACTATAGGATGGATGGTCTGAGTGCTCGCTGAGAACTTGGAGAATGCTAATACCACTTCTTAGCACCATGGGACATGGAGTATAAGACTACAGGGCCAAGTGGGAAAGTATAAATCAGGGATGAGGGAAAGTAAGTGTCCTGTGAAAAGGATGGGGGCCACAGGGGAGTTTGTTAACTATTAAACAGGCATCCAGAGGGCATTGTAAGAAAGGTTTGAAGGAATTGGGTGGAGAGAACAGAAGAATAAAAGGCTCCGGGCTAAGCACATAGCTAAGGCTACTGCTAGAGACAGAGGGGCCAAAGAGGCACTGAAAAACAACCCAAGATGGTCCCGAAGATCTTACTCCATGACCCACCCCTACTATGACCATCACACTATCCTCCTTACAGACAGTAGGCGATAGATATAGCAGGTCTTCTTTTGACCGTCACGCCAGACACGAGCCATGGCTTGTTCATCATTAGCTGGATTCCAGTCAGGGTCAAACATGACCAGTCGGTTAGCCCCAATGAGATTAAGGCCACAGCCCCCAGCTTTGCTGCTCAGCATGAAGACAAATTCAGGGCTCTAGAAAGAGAGGAAGCAGAAGAAAAAGAATCTCTTGCAGCCTGAACTAGAATCCTACTCAGCCCAGCCAACTGTTCTCTTTCACATATCCGTATTCTTATGCTCAGACCAACTGTGAGGACCACCAGCTTGTGTGCCTACCATCCAACTTCCCAGTCCACAAAGACAGTTCCCAGCCTAGCTATCACCAACCAATTACCAACCAGCCTACCCCTACCACACCCACCAGAAAAAAAAATCCCGAAAGACCCTAGAGCAGAGCCCCCTTATAAGTTCTCTATCACCCTTAATTCTGATGTTACTACATTGGTGGTATGGGGACAAGGGCTGTGCATTTACCAATGGACTGTTGAAGCGCTCTACAACCTTGGCTCGCTTCTTAATGGACATCGTGCCATCCAAGCGGACATATAAATACCTAAAGGAAAATCCAAAGATCAAAACCCAAGAAGGGAGAAGAGTTCCTTGAAGCCAGAGCTACTGAAAAGACTAAACTAATCATGCTTGAGGCTGTTTCATGCATAGCCTTAGGCCCCACACTCCCAAAGGCAGGGGTAGGAACTGGGAGCCAGGATTCTGTCCTGTGGGAGCACCTGAAAGACCATGGGCTATTCTGCTTGGTGATGAAACTAGGACCATCGCAGCAATAAGGAAACAGATATTTTCTGGGAAGTCCCTCCTACACCCACATCTTGGCCAATATCCACCAATCAACACCTATTCTTCCTAGGGGGACAGCAGGGGAGGCACCCCTTTGGCAGCCTAGTTAGGCTCTTCCCTACCTTCGGGCCCGGCAGAGCTTCTCAAAAAGGTCCAATGTCTGGGTGTAATTGGACACCAGCACTACCTTGTCACTGCTGTGGCTTCGGGTCACCGCCAGAATGTAATCAAGGACCAGCATTTTACCTGGAGAGATCAACTATTAGCCCCCAATGGGTCATCCCAATGGCCCAGAATTCTTACTCTTGATATCCTGCCTTGAGACAAGATAGGTCTAGAACAAAGAAACAATCTCCCTCCCCTCCTCCCAGAGAAACCCAAAAACCTTGTAGAAAAGGGCTCACCTGACAGCTGGGGTTCTAGAACCTTGGAGCTATAACCAGGGGGGAATATGTCCAAAGCACCTTCGAAGCCATCCTCCTCTTCTACACACTTGTCATAAATTAGAGCTGGATCTGGAAAAAAACCCAAAATGCCAGTGCTCATTAGAGCCTCCTCTTGAAGCCTACCCAACGACGTTCTTCAGCACCAGATTTGCTTGGTCCCAAATTCCAGTGTGCAGTCAGTGCCATCCGGGACCATGAAGGGATAATCTGGCTCACTAGTGTGTTCTCCCAACAAGAAGGGAGCTATACCAGAGATAGTAGGTTCATTATTTTTTTTCTCCTGACATTTTACATACACATGTATGCATGAACACACATACACACAGTCCTATATACCCCAAGCATCAAACATGGGCTGGGCAGAGGATAAGCTCAATTTTTCAAAGCAAAAGGTCTGGTTTACAGAGTAAACAATGCAGGGCTCATGCCTTGGGGCGGGGAGGAATCATACGTGGCCTCTATGAGGACTCTGGACAAGTATTAGTGAAGGTGTCTGGATCACCTATGGGAGCCTACCCCTCCTTGCTCTCTCCATAGAGGACCTCAGATCACGGACGCAACTCACGATTACAAAGCTTCTTTAGTGAGGTGATGGAAGAAAGGGAAGACACACTCATCTTGCCCTCACGCAACTCCTCTGCTGGCTTGGCCTGTCTCAGAAACCTCTGGTATAATTCAGTCTGAAGGGGTGTCAGCCTGAAAAAAAGGCAGCTGGGTCAGTAAGAAAGACTGAACCACACTTTGGCCCTCTGAGGACAGCTTGAGAGCTGGGCTTTTACTCACTCCACACCCGTAAGCTGAGTTCAGTACCTACAACAAACCACCTGCTCAATCTTCACAGGCAGGTATTTAGACAGGATATCAGATGTCCTCCGTATCAGACACCTGGAGAAAACAGGATAAGGAGGTAAGGGGCTGATAAAACCACCATGCAAACTACTATAATAAAAATTACACCCAAAGGACCAAGACTGACTCTTTTGTAGTATCAAATGTCAGAGACCCATCAGCCCTATGGCAAAGGTATCTACATTGGGGTCTCAGTCATGGAAATGGAGGCCCTTTCTAAGAGTCTAGCTTTGACCGACAACTCTCTTTCCCTTCAAAAGGTTAGTTGGTCTTCGAGAGGCCAAGGTCTCCCAGTGAGTCTGATGCTCTGACAGAGAAAGCAAGCTACAAACCACTAAGTCCTTAGGGAAGTTTCTGCATTTGCCCAAATGCCTATTGTCAAATGGCCCAAGGCTCAATAAAACTAAGCCCACACCTCCTAGCAGACCAGGAAGAACAGGGATCAGGCATCTGAGTAGCAGCTCCTAACATACTGACTCTCCTTCCTGCCACCTAAAATTGGGAGGGCCCAGACCAGGAAGAAAGCAGGGACCTGGCCTACAAGACCCCTTCATTTATTCAGTAGAGGTGGCAACTGGGAAGGGCAGGGCTCTTCAAACGTAAATCAAGTGTATATACGTATCACAGAGGAGTCCAGAGTGTACTTGCCCTCCTGGGCTACGTGGCCCCCACAGAAAAAGCCCTCTCAGCCTGGAAGCCACAGCCATCCGTCAGATCTACTCCTACCTGTCAAAGAAGGCTGTGAGGCCTGGGAAGGGAAGCCTGATTCTTTAGGTTTGAAACCAAATGACAGAAAGCTTCTGCAATACTAACAGTGTTCCAAAGGATATTTTGCTCAGGAAGTCCAACAGCATCAGAAAAGAGCTTCCTCAGCAGATTGCTAAGCAACCCAAAACCAGACCATAGGGCCCAGGCCAGGAAGAAAGCAGGGACTTGGCCTACAAGACCCCTTCATTTATTCAGTAGCTATAGTCAGGGCACAGATCCCACTCCCTTCCTAGAATCCCAGCCCTCATAGACCAAGGTCCCAAAAGATCAGCCTTAGATGGCTTAGGAGGCAATTCTGATGACCTCAGTTGGGAGAACCCAAAGAAAGGTGCTGCCTTCTAGCCCCACCCTGCCATTACCTATTCACAATGCTGGTGAGCTCCCGCAGGCGCTCCTCTCCTAGCTTCCTATCTGCCTCACTGGCAGCTGCATCTCTACCCTTCAAAATTGGCAACTCAAAATGTTTCTTGAACTCATGGGCAGTTCCTAAACACAAGAGAGAGGGAAAAATTAAAGAATGCAGAAAAACAATGATTTTCCCACTGCCAATAATGGCAGACTACTTTGTTACAGACCAATCTTCTTGCCAAGACCAACAAAGCTGAACAAATTACAGGCAATTTGTTTGAATGAATCCAAGAGCTACCAAAGCATAGAAGACTTGAAAGGCCAAATAGTTAGATAGTAGATTAAAATCCAATTATATAACTAATCACATCAACTATAAATGAACAAAATAATCCAATAAAAACACAATCCAATTGTCAGACTGGATTTTTTTTTTAGAGCCCACCTATGTATATGCTATTTGTAAAAGACAAAGTAGCTTGTTTCAGTACAATGAAGTTCATGTCACAGTGTGGATGAACCTTGAAAACATTATGCTAAATTAAAAAAGCCAAAGGCAAAAGGTCACATATTATAGGATTCCATTGATATGAAATATCCAGAACAGGCAAATCCATAGAGACAGAAAGCACACTGGTGGTTGCCAGAGGTTGGAGATGAAGAGGAAATAGGAAGGGACTGCTTAATGGGTATACGGTTTTCTTTGGCCAGAAATTAAAAAAAAATCAGATACCTCACAAAAGAGCATCTCCAGCCCTAGCCAGCTTTACTCAGTGGTTAGAGCAACAGCCTACACACCAAAGGTCACAGGTTCGATTCCCGGTCAAAGGCACATATCTGGGTTGCAGGTTCGATCTGGCCCCGGTCACAGTGCATGAATGAAGTAACCAATCTATGTCTCTCTCACACAGATGTCTCTCTCTTTCTCTATCTCTAGCCCCACCCCTTCCTCGGGTAAGGATTAAAAAAACAAAACGGAAAAAAAATTATACAAAAAAAGTGGTGGTACATATATACAATGGACTATTACTCAGCCATAAAAAGAAAGAAAGAAAAAAGAAAGAAGAAAGAAAGAAGAAAGAAAGAAAGAAAGA